ATTCATTTTGATGTTGGTCTTTTACACATTTTAATCTTTTTTTTTCTCTATTCATCATCTTAATGCTGTTACCACCTCATAACCATTTGCTTTTTACCCTAATTTAGAGCTTGTATAGAAGATTTACCTTCTTTTGTTCCAAAATTGTGTTTTTTCTTTTACATTTAAGAGTTTAACACACTATCTTATTACTTGTTACTGCTACCTCCTTGTTGCTTTTGACGTTGGAACATTTAGTCCTGATTTATTATCATCAACATATTTTTATTTTATTGCTAATAATCTTTCAATTGAGGCTACCTTGTTTCACAACCTCTAGTTATGCATACTACCTGTAAGGCTTGGCATTGCCTCATTGAAGAAACTTCTTATACAGCTTCAACACAGTTCCAAACCTAAAATCACATGAGTAAATATACAATAGGATATGAATACAGTTCTCAGCAAGTTGCCTAGATTTAACCATTTCCAGACTGGTTGGGGGTCGTTAATATCCCCTGATTTTTTCCTTCTGTCAGTGGAAATACTTAATCAAATTGCGTAAAACTTAGTGAAAACTTTCTAAATAGTATCTAGTTTCTGCTTGACAAAAATCGTTAATTTAATATAGTAGTTCTAATTTTTTTAAGTGTTGAAATTTCAAAACTTGTAGTAAAACTATTTTGAAAATTATATCAAAATGCTTTCTTTTGTCGTACAATTTCATGTATATTTTTTGTTACTGATCAGAAAGTTCCATTTTATATAGTTGGTCAGTTTCAAAGTAAGTATTCTAGTTTCTTGTTCATTTGAAATAAACATTGTTTGGTCTTGTATGAAATTTAAATAATATCTTCATAAGATCAGATAAAAAAATTGATTCTGAGGTAAACAAAATCAAAAAATCTGTTAGGTGACCAAGCTTTTTTAATTTCATGTTTTTCAGGTTACAGAGCATATGTTTACTAAGGTCACGTGATACAGTAGGCCTCATTCATGGAACTTTCATTGATGACAGAGATTTATCATTTAGTTTAACTTTTGGTCACATGCCTATAAACAATGTTCACATCACTTATTGGAGGAGTAAAATACAAAACATTTCACCTGCAGATTACACAACCAGAGAACCGCCTAATTACCATATGAACCTTGAAGATTAAAGGCATTGAAGCATTTCTTTAATGAGCTTCTAATATGTGACTTTACATGTGAATGCTAGAGGGCTTTCATGTGAATTCGTGTAATTGTTAGGTTCCAAGAATTTTTGTTTTATATCATCAAAAGGAAAGAAAAAGAAGTAGTCTTAAAGAATTTGACACTGACAGAAGGTTATTAGATAATAGCTTCTACTCAACCACAGGTTAGTTGACTTATGAGTTTAATTTTAGTTTTAAATATCTATGCTCCAAAAATGTGTACTCATTTCCAGGAATATGTTTTATGAGAAATAAAAACAAAATAGAACAAGATCTCATGAGAGTGAGGTCTGGATGATGACTGTCATATCTGAGAGGAATAAAGGTGGAAAAGTATTTTGTACTAGATTAACTTCTCAAAGTAAACTCCCTACCTAGATGAAAACTAAAATCCAACTGGTAACGAGTATAATTTAATATACTTTTTCTCACATTGGTACTTATAAAGATTAGAATGCGTTGTTTCGTCGATTGAGTACCGTCGCTGTTAATTATATTTTTGGTTATAATGTTAGTGTGGACATATATATTATGTAGCTGTAATTAATAGTTTATGCTCATCATCTCAGGCTGGGAAATTGAAAGTTGATGATCTTAATGCTGAAGAAGAAATCGGAATCATTGATGCTACTCTTGCTTGTCTGGTGAGTCGTTATGTTTAGTAACATTTCTTTCTCTGCTAAGTTTTTCTACTAAGAGCTAAAAAGTAGTGTTTTCTTTGTTGATGATGATTTTTACCTTATAAGCTGTTAATTCTATACAACCCTTAACCAAAAATAAAAACAAAGTTTTGAAGGAAGTTATGCTAAATTAGTTCATTTGAAACTTACATTCTGTTGTTTTTAGAAATGCTGCTGGTAAAGCAAACTGTAAAAGGATAAATTGGTTCACTAGAAGCTTAGTAAATTCTGTTGTTCTCTTGTTTTTAGAAATGCTATTTGTAAAGCAAACTGAAAAAGGAAAAAAAAAAGACTGATAATTTTGTTAACAATTTATTAATGAGCGTGTATGTAATTTTTATATGAGTAACTATAAAATGCTCTTTATAATTTGAGCAAATATTAAAAAAAATGGAATTCATCTTTTGTTAAAAAGTTTGTTAAAAAACATAATGTAATAAATGTTTACAAACCATCTCAGTGAAATTAAAATTAAAACCCTTGTTCACGAATATCTTCAATGTGAAGGGTAGTTAAAGTTTTCATATTCTCATCCCAGTATAACAAGATTTCATAAGGAACTTCAAAATATTTGTAAACATGCTTGTAGTGTTACAGAACTGTTCATATGTAGGTTTATGTTGTTGTTGTTTGTTATAGGTGTTCAGAGCAGATTGTTGAGGCTAAAGTTTAATGTATTATTTAATATTTGAGCTCTTACGATGTTTGTATTTATATCTGTTTAACTAACATGTCCAAAAAGGACTGTTTGTTGAGAAGGGGTTTTTGTTAAATAGTAAATTTGTATTCATCAATTCTGCACCTTGTTCCACAGTAAATGGTTTGAGTGATATGAAGAGCACACTGAAATATGGTTGTGTAGTTTTTTTACTCATAATTGATAGATTATATAAATAATTTACTCCTCTGTTCTATAATAAGTCAATTTGCTGAGTAATGTAATATTTTTTTATTCTACTAAGTTATTAATCACGTGGTTGACAAAGAATATTTCTTCTGTTTCGTGATAGGTAACTTGGTTGGAGGGGCATTCGCTAGCTCAAACAGTCCTGACAAATTTATACCTACATAAGCCTCAGGATGTGGAAGACCGAGTTGTAAAAGCCTTTAGTATATGTATGTTAAAACTAGTTGATCTGATAAAGGATTTTGTCAACAAAGCTGGTGTGTTTGAAGAAGTAAGTTTATTTCTTACACTAAAAAATTGTAACATGTTACCTTCATAACTATCGAACTTCGGAATTTATACTTTTTTACTGTATTTTTTATATAATTTTAAAGATCTAAACAATTTATAATTTTTGTATTAGTCCAGACTCTTATGGTTTTATTTGGATCTTTTGTGGAGATAGGACCTCAATGTTAAAGGGCTATTAGATTTCCCTTTTTTTCACCCAACTTATATAGTTTTATATGGTTTTTTAAATATTTACTTTTTAATTCATGTACATTTGTATGAATAAAGTAAATGCACCTTTACAAAGCTTTTATTTTAAAGTTTAATGATATTATAAAGCTTTTTACGTATATTAGTCTCAAACTTTGTCTTCAAAAATCCCCCTGCTTATGTTTTTTTCTCCCCACAATAAGAAAGGCCACAGTTGCTATTTCCTATGTTAAAGCTTTTCATTTGTTTTTAGAGCAAAGCTCCATTTTGCAATGTGCTGAGTCAACAGTGAGAAATTGATCCCCGAATGTTAGCGTTGTATGTCTATAAACTTACCAGTGTCCCACCAGAGGACAATAAAACTGACCCATTTTATTTATTATTTATTTTGATGCACAGTCTTAACAAAATTAAAATGACTATTGACTCAAAAGGTTAGTAGACAGTAATCAAGTTTTCTGTATACAAAAGAAAGTTTTGAAAATATGTTTTTTTTTTATTCAAGCTTGCCCCTGTGAACATAACTTTCAACAGTATTTAATAAGACTATCCTATGATAAACCTGAGAGTTTTTCTGTTATCCCTTTGAATGTGTATTCATTCTTCTCTAGTATAGTAGCTTATAAGTTATAAATTTAATTATTGGATTTTAAAAAAATTATTTTACACAAATAATAGTGAATAATTGAACAGTGTAGTTCCCAAAATACATATGAATGTCGTATTAATTGTTTTTGTTATTCTTCTGTCCATGAGTATTGTTTACCTAGTTATTATAGATGAATACAGAAATGTCAGAATGTAACTTATTTTTTTACCATTTCCTGACAGGAGGATTTCCAACCAGTAGTTTATGGCTACAAGTTAGCTGATGATATTACTAATGTACGAGCAGCTGGCATGATGCGTGAAATTGAAGAAGATTTACAGAGAAAAGTGAAGGCAAGTTCTAAGTTTCTGACAACAGTAACTTTTCTTAGTTTGTCTAGTAATTATCTGTATGCTTTCATCTAACCTACTTATGTTGGTATTTTTCTGATGCTGTGTTCATCTCTTGCAAGCTCAGAATTTATATCATAAATTCCATGAGTGGGGTGTTAGCTGTTTTTGCATTTTGCAAGTCGAATTTTGGACTTGATTCCATTAATTTGAAGTTGCTATACTATAAAATATGAACATAAAGTTGCTATTATACCAAATACAATTTTTACCATATACAGTGAAACCCCGATTTAATGCGAATTCGGATATAACGGGATGGGTCGTTAACTCTTTTGACACGAGCTCGGTCCCTGGGACCGACCTCGTAACCATAATTTCGTTATAGTTTACATACTAATAACTTTTAATATTTTAAGTGTATCTTTACAAAACTCTGATTTAGCACGACCCCGCTTGTTTCGCGAGGACATTTTATGGACCTCAACGATCGCGTTATAACGGGGCTACACTGTACATACATCCAGCTTACAAATGTACTGTTTCATGTGACATGCCTATGTTTAGGTCAACTTACAGTTCTGGTGTATAACAGTGGTGCTTTACCGGTAGTCACATGATAACTCAGTGTTATTCTGCCCACTTGTTATATGCATGAGTAATACATTTTATACGTGACACAGAAGTTACTTAAAAACGTTATGTTAGACAAATACAAGGCAATTCCATGACAACTTTGAAATGTAATCATAAGCAGCTATACTTTGGATTCAGTATTAATGCTTTAATTCTCATTATCATGAAACTAAGCTACACTGAAAGTTAAAATATGGTTGCATGAAATATAAATTTGGGACACAATTGGTTTGTCCAGTTTGCCAAATTGAATTTTTTTTTTCATGCCACAAATAAATACAACATTATATATGCCTCATGACACCAAATGGATGGGACACTTTCTCACCTACTTGAAAACAGACTGTTCATATTAGTGAACATCCTGATGTTTAATCATTCTTCACATTTTGCTGGAAATAAATCTTACTTAACCCTTTGATTGCATAATTAAATTTCAGTTGGGTTCTCGAAAAGGTTTTAGTACTTTTTTTAATATCAGAATCCACTAGTTGTGTTACTAAGGTGGGAAATTCAAGGACATGTGAGTATCTCGATTGTCGTACTATGAGAAAAAGTTTTTGTGATACCGTGGGGTAAATCTGCTTCTTGCAGCAAACAGCTATAAATGTTAAGTTGGCTCAGAAATATGTCCTTTTTTCTTTAAATTTGATCTAGTTTGATCAACAACTTTCATCAATTAAATAACAAGACTTTGAAACTTGTTTTTTATGTATATATAGTAGTAATGAAATAAAGTAAAGAGCAAGTTATTGAATAGATATTAATTTGCTTGGTTACTATTGGATAACTTCCCAAAACCTTCATATATATATATATATATATATATATAATAACACATATATAGACAGGACATACAATAAAATTAATTAACTAAAACTAACTTTAACTATACTTAATTAACCTTAAACCTACGTCATAC